TATATATACCTGTAGCCTTTCTCTGCTCTAATGGCATATTTCCCTTCATCAAAGTTGTTTATCTATGTTTTGGCTATAGTCTATCAAAAGTGGAGCTTCATCCAAGAAGTATAGCCATCTCAAGACGTATCTAAGTGTAACATGTTCATCCTTGTATGCTCTGTTGATGTAGGCTTGGATTCTGTCTTTCATGTCACTTTCCCTTGCTCAGATGAAACACGTTTCTTGATGCAAGTTGTTGATAATTATGTTGTCTACAACATATCCAAAATCCGTGGTCATCCAGAAAGTGTAGCCATCACGGAACTAGTACACACTGGAACAAGTTCCTTGTTTCCATGTGCTGTTTTGGTGGTTGTTCTCCTTGGGAGGTGAATTGAGGATTTCAAACCGATTCAGAGGATAGATGTAAATATTTAAGATGTTTGATTTTTGGAAATCCATTTTAGAGGTTAAATTCTTGAGGTTTTGTGGATTGTTGAATTGTTCCAAAGTTAAGTAGAATTGTGAACTTATAGGAATATCCTAACCGAACTTGTGGGCCACCTTACAGCTGGCCATGGTGTTCTAAAACACTCCCCACGTCGTCTCGAGCACGACAGTATACTCGGATTTGGAATTGGTTACTGTCTAACAGTCGAACGGATATTGCACATAATATGCGATATGCGGGTTCGATAAGTTCAAACCGTTAGATCGGTCCCAATTTCAAATATGTTGTTCTCTTATCTCTAGAATCGTGTAGGAACTCATAGATCGAGAATCGGAGTCCTGGATACTCCGAATCATTGATTCTAGGATTAGGCAAAGCGATCGACTGATCGTGCGATTGGCTTAGCTCGACCACTTGATCGAGACCAAACTTATGAGACATGTTTAGTTAACTTTGTTGAACTCGTAGGGACTTTTGAATCGGGAATCGGAGTTCGTGGGCCCTGTTGACCAATATGGGAAGTTTGACTACTTGGTTGACCGTGAGTCTTCCGAGGTCGTTTCACCTTTCAAAAAACGTTAGATTGGCCTTAGAAACTCCCCGATAGTCATGCACACTTACTTTGAGACCCGGGAACTAGGGTTTTGAGTTAAAGTTCGTTTTTGGGTACACGTATTAATTAAGCCCGTTTATTCTTTCGAATAGGTACTCTTGCTTTACGTATTCCAGAAGAAGAGCTCTCTCAGGATTGAGCATCATTGGACTTGTTGTGAGTGGACATTTGTTTTTAAGTGTACTTCATTTTTCAAATATGGAATTGCTTGCATAAATGTGACTTGATTGAAAATTGATTTAATTTGGATTAATGAGGATATGGAATTTCTAAGGGTTATTATTTATTAGAATTATTATTAAAGTATATGGACTGGGTGATATTGGATTTGTTTATGATAGTACATTGTTATTTTAATTGTGGAATATAGTATTTTATGGAAATTGCATGTGGAGATAATTTATTATTATTATTTGAATTATCTTGGGTCTTGATGGGATTATGAGTTTATGTTATAGGATTATCGGATTTTAATTTGATATTTGAAGTTTGTGAATATTTTGGGTTATGGAATTTATGCTTTTGAGAGTTTGTTATCTATATATGTAGGGTTGGAAACGCAAGTCATTCCAACGCATATGGGTAGGTGAAATAGGTTCCTTTGTGAGCATCACTTTTTATCCACATGTTTTTACAGTTAAAACATGCTGCTGGAGGTTTCTTCGAACTTTGGCTGCAGCAATATTTGATTTTTCTTTACAATAGCATTTAATGCTATCAAGACTTTGGTGTTGTAATCTCCTTATAAAAGGGACGTGCTTGCAATTGTATGTTGTTTTTCATTCCATTCCAGCTCAAGTATTTAGCCAAGTAGAGAAAAACAGACGAGACAAATAACACGTTTCATGCCTCAAAGAGAAAAACAGAACAAATCCCATCTTCATCCAAGTCATCATTTAAACCAGCAGACGAAGCTCTTCTCTGTTTCAAATCTCTCTGCTCTTCTCTGTTTCTCCTCTGTTTCTCTATCTTCATTTTACTTATTTGGAATGAAAGGCAAGTTTGTTAACCATCTAAATTCCAAATGAAAGGCAAGGTTGCCTACAATTTAAAAGATATGGTTTTCTTCATCAAACTTATTCGGAAGGGGATATAACATGCATGCATGTGAGTTGAAATTCTTGGGGGTCCAACTTTAATTGTAATTTGTATGGTTAGAGCCAAACCAGTCCAATCCCCACAACATCGTACAAATTATTTGTTTCACATGAATGGCTTGTGGATTTTGATTCATATCAGTCAAGGTACGTACAAGTTAGATTCCAAACAGCTGTGCAAGTGCCTCCCCCTACCCCCCCTCACTTTTTTCTTTGTGTTTGGATTGAATTACCAGAATAGAATTGTGTGTAAACTTTTGCCTCGTGTTCAATACCGATCAATTGGGAAAAATGGTATGTTGAGGGAAACTTATGTACAAGTTCATTGTATAGAGGCATCCAAAGAAAGATGACATGATTGTCCAAGAAGCTGCATCGAGATGCTGATGGGCTGTCATGCATGAGTAGCTAGCTTCATTTTACGTACGTTTGTTTGCATATGGGGGAAGGAACTACTTTAGAAACCTCTGTCGTTCATATCCACACTGATGTTTTCTTTTGTTTCTTTTGGGCCATGTACATTTTATGTAATTAATAATGAACTCATTTAATTAGTTGCATTAGTATTGTTTTATGGATGATTTACAGTTCAAAGTCTGGCAATGAGATGAAAGAACAAAAACTTGTCATTTTATTTTTCTTGATGATGACTAAGTTGTTTTACTGAATTAATACTGATCTGTAACTAGTCTTTCTTGAAACTCACAACCTTGTCCACCATATTGCCTTCCTTGAGGAAGAGAAAGGTAGGCAGTGCCTCCACATCCCACTCCTCGGAAGTCATCAGTTCGTCCACACATCCACCTTGAGGAAGGTCACTTCCGGGGTCTTTCTAGCCAACTACTCAACGGAAGAGTGAGGAGGCTCTTTATCTGTTGCAATCAGCTAAACTAGAGAGAATGGACAAACGAGTGTTCAAGAAAAGGAACAATAATGCAAGCAAAAGTTGGTAGTGTTTGAAAATTATGTGTTGGATGCCCTCAAGAATTTTGCAGTAACTCCTGATATTTTCTTGAAGTATAGCAGGTTCATGGCATGGTGGAAGAAGTATGATGAAACTGTGGGAAACTCAACGCAGCTGGCTCGTATCATGACGGATGGCACATATGCCCGATTATGAGAAAGGGGTGAAGATGGTTTTCTGATCTCTATGATCCAATGAATAAGTTTTATGCCAATCGGATGGAGCATGTTGAAATTTGTGTGTCTTGTTGGTGCTTTCTTTTTAACTTTCTTTCTCCTTTCCTAGTAAGATTTGGTGGTTGAATAAATGTAAACCTGTGTTGATGGCTTTGTTGCTTTGTTAAGGGTATTGCAAATTGGGTTTTGCTGCCAATCTGGGAATTGAAGTCTTGGAATTAGCAGAACATTGTGGCTTGAATTAATCTTGCACATGAATTTACAAAAGAAAAGCTTTTTTTAAGTTCTAGCAGTCCTGCATCTCTTGGGGGAGTTACGGGAAGTGATATACACCTCAGCAGCTCAGCCTGTTCCTTTTTTCTATTTTCCATCAAGTGATTAACAAAAATACTCTCACATGTGCAATTCCAAATGAAGCCTCAAATAAAGTATTTAATCAGTATATTGGAACATAGTGCCTTTAGAAGAACCAAGTAAAATATGAGAATGTGCTCAGGTAGGGTGCTATTCAATGAAGATCAAACAGACTTTTAAGAGAAATTGATTCAATGAGATAATGATCAGAAACAACATCAGAAAATGATTTTGCTTTAATTAATGCAAGAATATGATGAAAAATCACTTGCAAAATCTGAGAACTTAAAAGTATGGCTGAGTTAAACAATAAATCCGAGGATTCAGTTATACAGAGCAAGGAATTCCACCCAGTTGCTTCGTGAATTAAAAACATAACACCAATTGCTTCATGACAGAAGAAAATCATAGAGAGATTATAATTATAAACCAGTTGATGAGCCTAAATATGTATACATATTTGCTGAGTGAAGGGACATTACCTTTTATACCAGTTATGTGTGTAAGTATACAGATATGCAGAGATCAGTCTAATATTCGCAGACGTTGAAAGATTAAGGAAACAACTTTGTATTGAATGTGCATGATGAGAAATAAGCAAAACTAGCATCCTCCAAGGACTTGGACATTGGAAACTCTAAATGATGCACAGTAAACCAGAAGATTATGTTTCTATATTCAACCCTTCCCAATTCGATCTGAAATGGTGGGCTGCGAGATTGGGAAAATGGGGACTCAAATCAAGGAGAGCTTAGTTTATTCAAATGCATTTATCCTCCAGTTAACAGCAGCAGTGCAATTGGCAGCGCAAAAGAAAAATTGACAACAACCATAGATATAAAAATTATGAGACAGTGAATAAATTAGAAATTAAGGTATCTATAATCTAATTAATAAATTCCATTTCCAAATATAATGTATGAGGAAAATCATCATAACTGGACACATGGACAGAAGAGTGTGAAGAGGCGGCGAAAGAAGAACACTGGTCACAACATGATTTGGGTATAGAGAGAAAAGCCCTTGAAAAATTCCATTGAAGAGATTACAACCGTACAACTCAATCTTTCACAAAGATATATATATATATATATATATAAAGTGATTTACAGTATAATGAATCAAAGAATTGGTTTCAGGGGCAAGAAACCAAAAGAATCTCTAAAAATAAAAGACTTTACTCATTATATGCATGTGCTAATTAACAGTCATGGCTGATACATGAAATGGAGGAGCCCGTTTGCCCATTTTGGGCACTGCTACAAGTGCTTGCACCGTGTCTACATTGTTGAACCTCCACCTTTGTCTTGCTAACCTTAACAAGTGCAAAGAGAAACTGGGATTTACACTTGATCGACCAACGCTACACTGTGTCATCAGATGTCTTCAGTGAATTTACTTTGGCAGTTGAGAGAGTGTGACTGTTTGTCCCATTTTGGCTACTGGTACTTGCACCAAGTCCACTTTGATCAACCTCCATGGTTGTGGTGCTAACTTTAACGAGTGCAAAGCCAAGCTTGTTGGAGTTATCTCGGAATGACCATAGCTGCAGTGTATCACCGGTCTTCAATTTGTTTGCCTTGGCAATTTCCCTCCAACCTAAAACCAAATTGTACACAATACTACCTCCCATGGTCCATTTCTTGAGGCGTAAAGTGTACTCCTTTAGAGATGGATCCAACACTTTAACAGGTATACCAATAAGATGCTTCTGATTGTGACCATTACGTAGCTTCAACTCAGTCTGATACTTTTCGCTAAGAAAATCCTTTTTAACTTGTTTCATCGGTATGGAAAACCGTTGGTTATTATCAGCCACATCAGAATCAAAAAGTTCCTTCTCAATCACCAATTTGAGGTCTCCACCACTAATGCTACTAATCCTGTTTTTCATGTTTTATTTATTTATTTGTTTTTTGGCTTCCCTTGTGTTTTTTTTACTTTAATAACCAAAAATAGTTTTGTAGCTAATTTAATGTAAGGAGCAGGAGGTGATGAGTTAACCATGGGGGAAGCAAGTACAAAACAAGTCAAACATGTCTGATAGTGAAATTGACCAAAATAGCCTGCATCAAATTTGAGCAGGGATTAATGTCCCTTGAAATTCCTTGGCAAAAGTACAAGAATGTGGTCTATTTATGTGGTCTGCACTGTTAAGTCCAATAATGGGAGACCAAAAATGTAAACATAAATTAAACAAGTTAAAGTTAGTGGAAAGTGGGGCTAACCCACTTTTGTTGTGAGAAGATTGGATGTTTTTTTTCCAAAGATTAGGTGCTAAATTCTTGTCATCGCATTATAAACGAAAGCGATTATCAACAAATCTTATCCCAATGATAAAGATGCAAAGAGCAATGTTTCCAACTTGATGTCCAGCTTAATTACTTGTAATATGCTGTGGTAATGCTTATCTTAATCCTTTTTTTTTTATTAATTTAAAAAAAGCGATAGTAATTATTGATGAAACATATACTACTTTTTGTTTCATATGCTCAAATATACCAAATAAAAATCAACAAGCATATAGACTTGTAAGTAACACTTGTTAGACAAACTTTTCACAGATGAACCGATAATTATACATTATTATAGACTTGTAAGTAACACTTGTTGGATGCCTATAGTTTGCTTTATTCATGCTTCTTGCATACGTAACCCATCTTTTCGGAATGAGGACAACAACAAAGGACAAGTCAGTTTTCCATGGCCAAAGGAAAGCCATGCTTTGAGCTCGTCATATCATGTTTTTTTTTTTTTTTTTTTTTTTTCAAATTCAATCCCTCTCTTATGACATGTACAAATATATCTTGTGTAAATACAAAGTACAAAACGTGGTACACCAAAAAAAGTACAAAACATTTTCGCTTTTTTCTTTTGAAAATTCAAAACCTTTTTATATTGTCTGAAGGCACTTTTACAAGTCTTAAATGGCCGGCTCTTAGCATTACTTATTTAATAATCTATTGTGATAGTTTCCATCTAATAAAAAATTAATGAATAAATGATGTCGCATTTCAAAGAGGTATCCAAACTGCTTACCATGTTAGAGGAGTTTAATTAATTCTTTAATTTTTTTTAATGAAATGTTAATCACACAAAAATCATCAACTTCAAACAATTCATTATTCATTGTACTTTCTCAACAAAGAAAACAGTTCATTGCAATTTATTAGATAATAATTCTGGCCAAGCAAGAAAAAAGGAAAAGCAGCTTATGTATTAAATATAATTAATTGTAAAATTATTCCAAATTTACTTTGTATCAAAAAGCACGAAATCCAGGGCGGGGAATCATGGTCGCTGTCCTGAGGAGGACAAAGCGTAAAGATCCCAGAGATAAATGTGTCCAAGAGAGAGAGAGAGAGAGTCAGTCGTAAGCAGCAAAAGAGAGCCGCTATACAACTCCATAAGCCACACACTAACCCAGCTTTCATAAATTCATAGACTTTTAAACCCATCTTTGAGAAAATTTTAAGGCTCTCATCGTTTTCACCGGCTTTTAATTGCGTATTTTGCTGCAATTTTATGATATCAGAAATCAGAAAGATAATTAAAACCCATTTAAATATTCGGCCGAAAGTGTTTGTATTCTGCTTTGTTGTTGAAAAATTGAAACCGTCGCTGGTGCTTTTGCTTTCATTCTCTTCTCTGAGAGACTCGGATAGAGTGCAATGCTCCCAAGCTGAGATTATCAACAGAGAGATTGAGTTGAGAAGTTGAGAGAGAGAGAGAGAGATGGTGGTGAGGAAAGTGGGTAAGTATGAGGTTGGGAGGACGATCGGAGAAGGGACCTTCGCCAAAGTGAAGTTTGCGCAGAACACTGAGACGGGTGAGAGTGTAGCCATGAAAGTGCTGGATCGCACTACCATCATCAAGCACAAGATGGTCGACCAGGTACTCTCAATTTCCCCTAATTTGTACCCTCCAAGATGCTCAATTTACTTGCTTTGCATGCTAATTGTGAATTTTAATGGGTTCTTAAATTTACCCACTTTCTGATTTAGCATGTTTTGGTTTAATATTGGCCTAATTACCTGTAATATAGGACTTCAGGATGACCCAGTTTCCATTTTGGGTTTTTTTCTTAATAAAAATTTGATCTTTGTGATGCAGATCAAGAGAGAAATATCTATAATGAAGCTTGTCAGGCATCCCTATGTTGTTCGTCTGCATGAGGTATGTGATATCTTTAATCTTAGCTGCAAAAACTTTCTACAAATTGTTAGTTTTGTTGTCACTGACTTTATGATGTTGTTTTCTGTAGGTTCTAGCTAGCCGTACTAAGATTTATATAATTTTAGAGTTCATTACCGGTGGTGAATTGTTCGATAAGATTGTGAGTAGTAGTCTAACTTCAAATCCCACTGCTTAATTTGTACAATTAATTTATCTGAGGAAGCAGTGATGTTAACTGTTAAAACAATGGTTGTTCAGGTTCATCACGGACGTCTTAGTGAAGGTGAAGCCAGGCGATACTTCCACCAGCTAATTGATGGGGTCGATTATTGCCATAGCAAGGGAGTATATCACAGAGACTTAAAGGTCTTCCTTTTGTAGCATCTATCAAGTTATTGTGATTGTTTCTTTTTCTTTCATGAAATTCTTATCGTTGTTTTTGTGCAGCCGGAAAATCTGTTGCTTGATTCTCTAGGAAATTTAAAAATTTCAGATTTTGGTCTGAGTGCATTGCCTGAACAAGTAAGATTCTTGTCTCATTTTGGACATTATTACAGTTGAGAGATTTAGTATTTGTAGGGATATCAATTTATGATGTTTGCACGTAGGGAGTCAGCCTCCTTCGAACGACCTGTGGGACCCCGAACTATGTAGCACCTGAGGTACGGACAAAATTAGTCAGCTTCTGAGTTAAATTTGACCGTTTCTCGACTATGAATAGTATTTATTTCATGCATCTGCTTTGTTTTATATATTTTTTTTATTGTTTTCGTTTACTGCTCTAGGTACTCAGTCACAAGGGGTATGATGGTGCTGTGGCAGATGTTTGGTCCTGTGGGGTCATCCTTTATGTTCTGATGGCAGGTTATCTTCCATTTGACGAGCTTGACCTCACCACACTATATAGTAAGGCATGAACCTCTTTCATGTTTACTATTTTGGGATTATTGGCTTTGAACAGAAGATTTCTTAATTGATATTTTGGATCTATTTGTGCAAATGTGAAAAGTATTATCCCTAGTGAATGAACCTTTTAATAGCTTTCTTAAAAATTTTAAAAAATTTAATAGCTCAATTACTACTTCTTAATTGATAATATAATATTGAAAGGGTGATCAAGCTGTCATTTAGACTTTGTATTTGGTTGTGAAGTAAAGTGAAAATGCCGTCTCTGTTCTTTCAATGCCAGACCCCCCTTGACGCTATTTTTAGGTGCAGTTTCTACTGGATCCTGGGCTTGATTGTTGGTTGTCTAGTTTTACCCCTGCCTCAATATTTTACTTCATCTGATGTCTACTTTTCAGTAAGAATGTTAAAGTGTGACTTAAAGATCATTGTTAATATTAAGTCATTATCATTTATTTTCTGCAGATAGAGAAAGCAGAGTTCTCATGCCCATCTTGGTTTCCAGTGGGAGCAAAATCCTTGATTCATAGAATTCTAGATCCGAACCCTGAAACTGTAAGTATTTGCTAAGTTGGAAGACATTGCTCATTTATATGCATAAAGTGCACATTCTCAGGCTGCAATATCTATAACAAGGGCACAATCAGAAATGTCGGTGCCATGTTTTTATTGGTTCATATTAAACTTGGGATGGAATAACATGTAACCATCCAACATGAGGAGAAGGTGCATAACAAAAAAAATGTCAAAAAGAGTAGATATTTTCTTTATAAGTACCAAGGCCTGACTCGAGGTCTGTTTGGTAATTGAACCAACCTTTAAACCTCTGCTCAGAATTTGAAATTTCTCTTTGAGTTTGTCACCTTTTTCATTTCTATATCTTTTTCCCTACCCTTATTCAGTGTATTCATCACATGGAAGGAGAGAGGTACTTTTAATTGAAGTCTAAGGTTGTGTTATATTTGTTTAAAACTTAAGTGCCTGTTTTGAGTTACTACAGGGAAGCTAAGCCTATGCAGGGGAGACTGTCAGATTTCAGATAGAAATCACCTTTAGGATTCTGCCTCTCATTCTTTGTTCTCTGATTCATTCAAATATTTTGGTTGTGGTTGTTTCTGAAAAGTTTCTCTGTGTGCAGCGTATTACAATTGAGCAGATCAGAAATGATGAGTGGTTTCAGAAAAATTATGTGCCTGTCAGATCGTTTGAATATGAAGATGTAAATCTGGATGATGTAAATGCTGTTTTTGATGATGCTGACTCTGAGGTTGGTAGAGCTTTGAGTAGCTATGCTTATTTTTTTAGATTGACAACACAAGTAACTTTCCTGTTATCTATTATTTATAGCAGGAACAAAGGGTTAGTGAGCACCGTGGCAATGAAGACATGGGTCCTTTAGTTCTTAATGCATTTGACTTAATAATTCTATCTCAAGGCTTAAACCTAGCAACAATGTTTGACCGTGGCAAGGTAAGACAGTAACTTATTAATTACTCTCCCGTTATCTTTATCCTTTAGATATTCATTAAACCATATTAATAGTTTTATATTTTGGACACTATTGGTAATATTAAAGGTACCCTAACACCCTAAAAGCTGCTTATCTTATACTCTTTTATCTCCTTTTCCCTTCATTCTGTCAGAAAAGCATCACAATCGAACTTTTAATTGATAATTCAGTATTTGAACACCATGCCCTTCACTGCATTTTTGTAAATATAAGTTTGCCTGAGGTAGTATACTTATGTCAATTTCCTACTTAAGTACTTCTATGATGTGTGAATTTCTTTCCCTCAATAGGATTCGATGAAG